CCCAGGAATTGCCCCAGCATTGATGCCCCAACACCAGCCCGTGCTCATCCCAGCATTGACCCCTCACGGCCCCCCTGCTCATCCCAGCAATGAGTCAGCTGACCCTTCAACGCTTCCTCAGCAGTGGGAAGGGAGAAAGGTGAGCGGAGAAAAATGAACTGAGCAACTTCAGTGCTTCTGCTGTGTACTTTGAGGATGAACTGCCCCACAGTTCCTGCAGCTGCAGAGGTCAGTGACAATGCATGGCCACCGGTTTGCGAGAGGGGGGAACAGTGCTGATGCAGATAATGGCGTATTGCCGAATTTACTTTTGGTGGAACTTAATTGAAATGTCATCCATTCCGTTGCGATGGATGGTATGCACTGCAACGCGCTGCTGAGGGCGCCAACAGTGAGAAGACAATGAGGGATTGTGGAATGGAGAGCAAACTTGCTGGGGAGGGGGAGCGCTCAGCTGATACCTCTATTTGAATGGTCTCCTTCATACAATTACAATATTAAACAAGCGAGCATTTAAAAGTCTTCAAGTGATTGAGACTGATAAGCGACTTCATATATAAACACGCAACAAAAAAATGCCGCATTCTCCCTTAAACTGTACAAACTGTTCACTTCTCCACAACGTCACAGCGGACTTGTAATTGCGACACACCCGGCGGAACGCTGCCAGTAACAATCTCCTAACACCGGACAAAAATATTCCCATCCAAAGCAAAACGTAAGAGCGTGATAACAATACAGAACACCCGCGGGGAATAGAGAGAGCCGAGGCTTCGGCCAACGGAGTGACTTCAGTTACTGACTATGCAGAACACACCTAACCTACGCACAATAGAGAATTAAAGCAATGACCCCTGGTGGTGATGGGAGGGCGACCCTGGAGGGGGCGATTGGAGGGCGACCCTGGAGGGGGGCGATAAAGTGCATCTGTCACTACCCAAATGCTATGGGCGGGCTGCAGCTTATACTTCAAAGACGGATTCACATCCTATTCATTGCACTGAAGAGCAAAACAGGACAATCATTCTACATTCAAAAGCAGATCAGAAGATGAACTGAATCCCCCACCAATAGTCTCTCCCGAAGCCTTTCCAAATATTAAAGATTTCTATGCACTCTATTGCACCGCATACAATTGTGCGCACACCAAGCTTTGCTAAACTTATTAAAACACAAAGATGCAGTCAGCGAAGTTCGTAGCCGTCTTTGTGGGCTGCCAGGTAAGATCATTTGTGGTGTTGCCCGGCTTACTAAAGAAAGCGGCAACGAGCCGAACAGGTGGATGGAAAATATGGTATGTTATGTACTAATGGTAGGCATTCACATGCCAACCGCTACACAGCACCCCAAAACCACCCAGATCCCACAGCACCCCTAAACCACCCAGATCCCACAGCACCCCTAAACCACCCAGATCCCACAGCACCCCTAAACCACCCAGACCCCACAGCACCCCTAAACCACCCAGATCCCACAGCACCCCTAAACCACCCAGATCCCACAGCACCCCTAAACCACCCAGATCCCACAGCACCCCTAAACCACCCAGATCCCACAGCACCCCTAAACCACCCAGATCCCACAGCACCCCTAA